AATAGCTAAGTCAGAGGAAGGCTATACCCTAGCCTTTAGTTTAAAATCTAGAATTAATCTATAGCCTAACTTAATTAGCTATAGCTAACTAAGTTAAACCTTAAAGATTTAGGCTATAAAGTATAACCACTGCATTAAGGTTTAAGACTAAACTTAAAGTACGTAAAATAGCCTAAACAATAAGGTTTAAACATAACGTAACTGCTTAATAGGTTTATACTTCAAGCCCCGCAACTTATAGTTCAATAACTCAACCAGACCAAATAGGCCTATTATATCCTTCTGTTAGGTTATAGAAGGCAGTAATAATCCTGCCTGAAAATAAATTACGCACGCAACACTTTTAAAATTAAAAGACCACCCGATAAGATAATACACCCTATATAAAAGCAACGAACCCTTTTAATAAAAGATAAGTTAATAGCTAATATATATCTACTATAAACAGCTACAATAGCTAAAAGTAATAAAAAACTAACTATAACTATGGCTAAGATAATAGCTGCTGTTACGAAAACTTGTAATAAGGATGTTATTAGCGCTGTAGAGAAGGTCTGCTAAAGCCTAAAGAATAAAAAGGGTAAAAGAAGGTAACCTAAATTAATTATAAAAAAGAAAACGTAGATTAGCTAGGTTAATTAATAGCTGCTAAATAAAGGTTTAATAGTAACTTATTATTTTAATTTTAGTTAAGTAGTTTATCCTTTATACCTAGGAGAGAGTTTTAAAATATAATTATAAAATTATTAAATAATAGCTTTAAGCTTAATTAATATTATTAATTTAACCTTTTATAATAAATTAATAATTTAATTTAATAATAATTATTATAATAATTATTATTTTTAATATTTAATAAATTAATTTTTAATTTTTTTATAATTTTAATAATAATTATAAATTAAATTTTTTTTTTTAGCTTTATTAAATTAATAATATTATTATAAGAATATTTATTATATTTTTAAATATTAAAGTAGCTTTAATATTTAAAAAATTAGCTATATAAAGATATTATTTTACTTAGTAACTTACTTAGGCTATAATAATAATACCTTTATTATAAATTAATTTTTTATTATATTAAATAAATTAAATATTTAATTAATTAATTAAATTAATTAAATAATACCTTTATTTTCTATTAATTAATTAAATCTGGGTACTGGATTTAATTTAATTAATTTAGCGGCAGCGCTATGCTTGGATCATTTAACACAAGCTTCTCCCTTGAAGCCACAATATGATCAAAAGCTCAGAATTTCACCAGTGTACAACACGACCTTACCACCATGTGTCTCCTTGGTTGCCGTTGTAATGACTTTAAACAAGCCCCCTACAGACTCCTCTACTGAAGTAGGAGCTTCACCAATGCCAAGAATCTGCGCTGCATTATTTCCCATGTCCGTCTGAACGAAGCCAGGCTCCAAGACAAAAGCATTGAGCCATTCGTCCTCGGCGTTAATTCTGACACCGTACCAGTTTACCAGAACTTTTGATGGCCCATACGCAGCATTCGGGACTGGTGGCTGTCTTCTACAATATGGTTATTAATCTCCTTGAGCTCAAGTAGTATAGAACACTGATGACTTACCCAAGTGCGCCGGCCCCAGAACCAATGGTGACGAATATAGGCTTCTTAGTCGACTGTTGCAAAAGATCTCGTGTGGCCTGGTATAAAGATACCACACCGTAGGCATTTATATCGATATGTTCTTGGATATCAACTCGCCGGACATCCTTCACAAGTGGGTAAGACTTTGAGATGCCAGCATTGGCGACAACAATATCAAGGTGATTAATTGCATGCTCTCCTTTCAGATCCTTCACAAGGTCAAAAGCATCCTGCTCAACCCCAGCATCGTATTTCAAGACAACAAGACTGCTGCCTTCGGCCTTGGGCAGATCGGCAAGCGCTTTGGAAGTTGGATGGCTGGTGTCCCGGTTGGCAGAAATAACGGTCTGTTTTACTCGTTAACAGAGATGCGTTTATAAGATAGATTGTGACAAGAATCCTTACATGGTTAGGCTGGGAAAGAAAGCTCTCAACTAGCCCAAGGCCCAGCCCACGGTTTCCACCAGTAATAAGAACAACAGTTTGACTCATTTTCGACTTAGATGAATTTTTTGGAGAAAATCGCTGATGATTGCTTTTTTATTATTATTATATTTAATTCTAGTTATAGTAAATGCTGTTCCTTATCTCTGTTCGATGATAGTAATTCGCGGGATTACACATTCAGAGGGATTCATAGATGACAAATGCGAGATTAATAATCACAACGCGGACTAGAGTGGTTTATTAAAGAGGGGTAGGGACACGTATGCTTCCAAAATCCGCACTTCGCAGATAGGAAAAGAATTCGAGGAACATTAGCCCTTACTTACAGACCAAATTAATGCGTCGGGTTGTTAATTTATGGAGGTTCATCGCCTTTGCCTATAGTCTCTCTCGAGAGGTTAATAGTTTGACGCGAGTATGGGATGAAACTAACTCAAAGAGGCCCTTTGGCCCAATTGTGGGACACTTAGGACTGAGCGCAATGCAACAAGCTCCTCAGATACAATGACCTTTATATACAACTTTCGTATGAGAGATTGATGTATGTTAACCTCGTCTAATAATTTTACTCCATACAATTCTACTCGGTTCCTTTTATGGAAGTACACTAGCATAAGTAAACCCAAGCTTCAGTTCACTATTTGCCTTCTTTGGCGCAACTCTTGCATCAATTCCCGCAGTATTGAGGCTCCATGGTTCGTCTAGAAGCATTTGGTAGAGCGGATTGCGACATCATCTGATTGATTAGGAAACATCAATATGTAGATCCTTTATGAAGTCCGCAATCGCTACATCTTCATTAAGTCCGCGATCCTTAGATGTTTATCAAGTCCGCAATTGTTAGATGTTCATTAAGTCCGCAATCCTTCGATGTTTATTAGGTCCGCAATCCTTAGATCATTCGATCCTATTTATTGATATGCTTTGTTCCTCCTTAGAGCAATTGGTTTTTACTTTACCTCTATTTCTTCTCGTTCGTATTTGGCCTTAGTCTGCAAAAATTGTTCTCTTTTGTTCAACCAACATGGTACTTTGCGAAGTGGTAAATTCAGCGTGGAAAAAGTTCACCTCTGATTCCAATTGATTCAGCTGCATTAACATCCTGTCCTGCACGTGCTGCCTGCGTATACGCAAGGAACAAAGACATTTCGCCATCCGCCTATACTCTCATCGTTTGAATGATCATCTGCATGATTACAATGCATAGACGGGCCGTTTCCCATGCACAGCAGATTGAGGCTCAATTTCACGCCAGTACACACACGAAACACCACGTAAGCACTTGTTAGCAACAACATTTATGCATAAAACATGTCATTCACGCTAATGAGACACGAAACACGGAAAATCTGAATGACAAACTCCGTAGGACTCTGTCCCGTATGCTTCCTAGTCATAAGGTGTTTTGATGTTTCCTTATCTACACAATTACGCATGTACTCGTCAATATCCTACACTCCAGCGTATCTAACCAGTATCTAGGGCGTACTAAAAGTGAGTATTACGTACTAAAGATCAGTTTCTCAAGCTTTCACATTATATTCAAGGCATGGAAACTTATGAAACGTGTATCTTATCATCATGCGGCGAATCCTGTCTAGAAGTTTACTTGCGTTTGCCATAAAAAGCCGAACAAAATCTGTGCTCATTTTTAAAACCATTGACTTTGATCGTAGAGACGTTTTGGTAATCGGAGCGGACAAGGTTACTTCGTCAACTGATTCATTATGATTCATATTGTGCAAAATCGATGACCATTTGAGTCTACGAAGAGAGAGTTTGATCTTTACACAAAGTCATCATATGGTTGCCTAGATACAACTATTAAATACAATATGGAAAATTCGAGGATCTAATTGCCAACAATTATCAGCATAGTATATTCCCATATGACGATCGGCAATAGCCAAGGACATGTATGTATATCATATGGCCGCCTTGGCGGAGTGATGAGGAAATAATATTCCCACCAATCAACCAAAGAGGCAATGCAAAGGATCAAATTACCAAATGATTGATAAGATAAACATAACAGAAAGAATAAGTAGCCAGTAAAATATAGCATTCCAGGCACGAAATGAGCAGAATTCCAGCGCCTCGAATCTCGCTTTGACCCCCAAGGAGACTGCTCTTTAACATTTTGGCTAAACGCCAAATATGTGCGCAGAAGAGGCGAGAAATGTATTCATAACCAAGATTGAACGATTTGCCCGAGAGATTCCGGGTAATTCCAAATTTCTTCAGCTGATCACTCCGCATCCAGAACTATAGCATACAGTGCTCCTAAAATTGTGCCCTTTGGGTTTCCGTCTTGATTCCCCAAAGAAGAAGACCTAGCTTTAATTAGTCAGTAGATGTCAAACAGAGAACCGGTCCAAGCGACGATTGAAAAGGTTAGAGAGCTAAGCTAGCGACGTGTTGCGCCCACAGCAGTTCCCGAAGGATTCCGAGCTGAGGAGAAGTGCAAGAAAAGAGTCGAAGTAACCAATCGGAATGAATGCCAAGTAATTGATATCTTGCTTCTTAAAATTTGACACAAATAGTTTATTTAGAGTACCACCACTTGAGCTGTGTTGCTGTTTGACTTGTCCCTCAAAAGCTCGGCACACTGTCGGAAGAGGAGGTGAGAAGAACAACGGAAGTAACCGACCACAGTATTTCGAGTCAAGTTCCATCGATGTCGGCCAAGACTCCCAGCTGTGTCTATATGCGGCACCCGGATAGCCCAGACAATATACATTCCGAGAATTGAACAGACGAAGCATGTGAGACAAGCTCCCCCCGTATGTCCATGCACTTTGATCTGGGTAAAGCCGTTGATGAAGAGGATCTTGAGTTAATAAATCCGTTAGTATTCAACTTTCTCCAAGGCTAAGCACAGTCTTGTCAGTAACCACAATGTCACTGCATTGAGCCAAGACACAGCCAAAGTACGAACATCCGTAAGATGCATCACGATAGACAACCTTTTCATACTCTTCCTGCAGGCTATTACTCCAAATAGCACCACTACACTTCAAAGGGAATAAATCCTTCTAGGAACTGCTTGGTGAAGTTAATGCCAATTGCGCTGCCCCCCACTGGATACAGCCCAAAGTGGACTGTACTCCAGCCCTCTGTCGCCCGACAAACTACAGTCGTTGCCACCACTAACCCGGCCTACCGACAAAGAGGTGGCTCAAACAGGAGATGCAATGACGTATTTTGAAGAGGGATGAAGAAACTAATTGCTACATAAGGATCAAACTGGCCAGCCAAACAAGAGAAGAAAGAATCATTTTCATCATTCAGATACTCGATCCTCAAAGAGCACGCCTTCAAACTCAGCAATTGAAGTTTAACCTTCTCAGACCACTTCTCATATCTTCCTAACACCGTCGAAAAGAATCACAACAGATAACATACATAAAATGGCTCCCCTCCCAAAGCGCGCTGTCATTACCGTTACTTCAGCCAAGGCTGGCCTCTTCAACGGCAAAGAGACAACTGGCGTCTTCATTTCGGAGGCTCTTCACCCATTTCGAGTGTTCCGCAATGCCGGCTTTGAAGTTGACTTGGTCTCAGAGACTGGCAAGTACACGCCGGACTGGCTGTCACTGCAGGCCGATTTCCTAAATGGCTCCGACAAGGAGATGTACGATGACCTCCAAAGCGAGTTCCGGCAGAAACTTGATAACATGCCAACCCCTTCTGAGCTTGATGGCAATAACTACGGAATCTTTTTTGCTTCGGCTGGTCATGCTGCCCTTATTGACTACCCGACTGCTACTGGCCTGCAAAAAATCGCCGAGGATATTTGGGCAAACGGTGGAGTTGTGTCTGCCGTTTGCCACGGTCCCGCCATTTTTGCCAATATCAAGGACAAGGCCACTGGAAAGCCTATTATTGCTGGAAGAACCATCACTGGATTCACCAACGAGGGAGAAGATGTCCTGAAGATTATGTCCGAGATTAAGAGCTGGGGCAAGCCTCTTGTGGAGGAGCATGCAGCGGCTCTTGGTGCTACCTGTGAGTGCATTCCTTTCACCTCTTCCGAGTGAGTAAACGTGACTAATACGGAGATTGATATAATAGACAAGCGTCCCGACAACGTTTGGGCTGATTTGCACATTGTTGATGGTCGCGTAGTAACTGGTACCAACCCCGCCAGTGCTACGTCGACGGCTGAGGCTGCCGTGGAAGTTTACAACAGCCTTTGAATCAAGTGTGGATATCATAGCAGACAGGAGGACAATAGATTGATGAGAATATAGATCAATGTTGTTCTATTTGAATCGCAAGCCGTTTCGTGTGTTGTAAGCCGTGAGCTACTCAAAAGATGTGTAGGGATTCGTTTACACCACAGCGGTAGTGTCTAACTATCGACATAATGGGCATAATAGCCCCAGTACCATCCTTTGGAGGCACCCGAAGAGTAAAATCTCCTTGTACATCTACTCCGGTCGCTGGGCCCAAATAATGTGGTGTCTGATGGCAGTACGATAAGTCTCCAAATCTTCATTGAACCGGGTAGGTAAATCTTCCCAATCATTTGTAGACATACTCAGGGTTTCAGGGCTAAAACAAGAATGATTAGCGCATGGCAGCACAGTCTATGCTCGAAAAAACTTACCTAGTGTTCGGGTACATGTTATTAAAGGCTGCGCGCATGCTTTTTCGCCCACGAATGTCCAACTCTCGATTGTCTTGGAATTTTCCAATAACGATATCCAATGTTTGGACATTGATATTAACGAAACCAATTTTTTCTAGTTGTGACAGTATGAGTTCTTTAGGATTTGGACATTGCATAAATAAATCGGCGATTTGGTGCAGCGTTGTGAAGGCTGAAGAGCCTGGACCTGAGACATTCTCATTTGCCGCCGGTTCAACAAATTGGATCCAGCCTCCAGGTTTAACGCATTTAGCTAATCTTTCGACAGACTTCTCGATAGCGGCGACTGAGAAACTTGGGAAGATAAATCGCTGATGGACAAGGTCGAAATACATAGTCCACTGGGAAGGGAGTTCTTGTGATAGATCACCGAGGGTTAAGCTGACATTGGATGGAAGACTCTCCGATGGCGGGTATAGCTCAGGCCTGCGATATATCACGTTAATTAAAATCCTAATTGCTACACAGCTTCAAAGACTGACGCAATATCGAATCCGACAAACTCCGTCTCAGGTGGAAATAATGAGCTAACGTCGCATAGCCAGGTACCTCACACAAAGTCAGTACACATGATTTCGAGAGATGGGTGATTGATAGAACTTGTTACCATCAGCAGTTGCGGAATCTAAAATCTTCTGATTTTTTCGTTCATAGTCAACTGGAGCTTTAATCAAGCCACAAAAGGAGCCCTTTATCCATTCATGCTGATTCTTCATTCGCTCAATTTCTTGTCGATTATGGGGCAGGATGTATGCTTTTCGTGCCGCGTCTTCCGCGGATGTTTCACTGGATCTAGCATCGTAAGCCATGGCGCTGTAGCTCCGTTCCTTTAGCTGCCAAGATAGTAATGAATACAGAGCGATAATGTTGTTATGCCGAGAAGACACGGAAGAGGAATCTAGCCTTCAATTATTTCCCTGATAAAATAAACAATTATTGATGATCATCCACTCTGCGCGTGCATCCACTCAGTTGGAATTTCTCATGTTCTCCCGGCTCAAATCGGTTACCGAGCTGTGCCACCTTGCCGGGTTCCGATTATCCTAGGGTACCTAGGGAAGCAAAATAAGATGGTAAGAAAAGTTTAATCGTGGAGCAAGTATTCTATTAATCTTGAATAAACCCGTAAATTGGCGAAAGCCAATGTGTATAATCTATCTCACTTGTAATCTTCGATTTCATGTGGTGTTCAGTTCCATGAATGCCCGAGTAGCTTATCAGCAAACTTCACAATACTGATAGCCGCATTGTTGTCTATAGCTGAACAGGAATCATGTTATCGCGGCGGGCAATCGAGAACAACGCTTGGTTTCGGGAGCAGTTCAAACGACCACTGGCACGGCAGGGGTCGAAGAATCTCTCGATCATCGATATGGCCACTGCTGAGAATTGGCTTATTCGGCCTGAAGTATTGTCCATACTCAAAAGAAACTGCTCCCAAGCCTTAAAAGAAGAACACCTTTCGTACGCCAATGGTCTAGGAGGAACTCCCGAACTTCTAGAGAGCCTCTCGGCATTCTTCAATCATTTCTTCTCACCCATGGTACCGATACGACCGGAACATATTGTAACTGGAACTGGCTGTAGCGCGGTCTTGGATACGCTAATTCATGATATATGCGACATGGGAGATGGCCTCCTTGTAACAGCTCCTATGTGGGGTGAGTAAATATTTGCGTATATGGTAATGTATTTCACAACGCAGCGGGCTTACTATAAATGAGTAGGAAGCTTTCAAATATCGGCGGTTATGAGAAATTCTGTTCAATTGATACCGGTTTGTGTCCCTTTTGAACAGTCTCAAAGCGCAAGTGATATAGTCCAAGCCTATAGATCGGCAGCACAAGAGGCATCATGCAAGGTTCGAGGAATACTGTTCTGCAATCCTCACAACCCTCATGGGCATATTTGCCCTACTAAGGCGATAGATGGTTTGCTACAATATTGCCAAGAGGCCGATTTGCACTTTATTTCTGATGAGATCTACGGGCTCTCAACATTTGGAGACCGAGGCGAGTCATCGGTAAGATGCAAAGGAATATATGATTCTCCGGAGACAGAATTTACTTCAGTTTTGTCAAGAAATTTGGACGCCCTGTGCGTCGAAAGGTCGAGGGTTCATGTCCTTTATAGCATCAGCAAAGATTTCGGCTGCAGTGGCATTAGACTGGTAGGTGCAATAATATTTCTCGTGTGCAGATCATTGTTGAGCTAATCGATATATTATTCTAGGGATGCCTGGTCAGCCAAGCAAATAAGGCATTGCGAATGTCGCAGGCTATTTTGAATAATGCAAAGCTTTGCAACGCTGCCACCGTCATGATCTCACCAATGCTTTCCAATTTGTCGGAAATGGAAAAGATCGTGGACCTCAACACAAAGAGGCTATATCGAGCTGCTCAAATAGCTATCCAGTTTGCCGAGTTTCATCAACTGGAACATTACAAGCCAGTAGCTGGATTGTACATCTGGCTGAGATTATCAGCAGAATGTACTACTTTTGATGACGAAGAGGCTCTCGTCCATCGATGTTCTCAGCTTGGAGTGTTCGTTGGCAGTGGCGCGGATTACGCCGAGCCCCAGCCGGGCTGGTTCCGGCTGACGTTTGCAATTCCAGAAGACAAATTACTACAGGGATTGCGGCGGATTGAAGAAGCAGTTGGATTTAAAGTAGTATTTACCACTGATTTGGTTGTTCAAAGCTGGGCTACGGTATGCGCTAATTGGTGGAGAGGAATACGAGGGTAGATCTGTCCGTCGGCGTGTTTTTGAGCTCTCTTTGTATCCTGCCTTCAGATGGTATTTCCAGATACAGTTTCAATTAATTACTCGAGGAGATGCCTATTATAGAGAAGTTACTCCGTGTGTGGAGTTAGTTTTACCATACAATCAGGCAAGCCGATCCAGCTATCGGCTTGTAGTTCAATGCCATCAATTCCACCTTTACCTATAATGTCAATCCGATAACAGCGTACCATCTCCGCAACAATTACCCGGAGAATAATGTCGGCCACATTCTTCCCTAAGCACTGCCGAGGACCAAACCCAAAACGCCACATATTATATCGCCGCGATTGGTCTCTTTGGCCGAGGTGCCTGTGAGGGTTGAAGACTGTAGAGTCCTCCCAGTAGGCATTGTCTATATTGATTGCGTACGAATCTACTATAACATCGGTCTGCTGCGATTAGTTTGGTGTCCATATAAATCTCGGTAAATGTTCGCGGAGGCCATACATTCCGTAAAATCTTAAAATCGCCGACAGTTTTATCCGTCAGCGCTGACTCGGGATTCGAAAACGCTACCAAAACTGTCAGCAGAATACACAGAGTCAAGTGGAATCGCCCGCTTACGGAGAATTGGGTGCAGCCGAGAGGATTCCAGGATGCAAGCCGCCAAGAGAGTATTATCCTGGCGGAGATATTCCTCGTATTCTTCTTCCGAGTGCGAATTTGCCCCGATTTCTTGTCGCACATCATTTTGAGTAATTGTGTGATGAGCAATTCTCAGCATGGCCCAAGATAATGCATGTGCAGTGACATCTAGATTAGCAAATAAAGACTCATCCAAGGTTTGAAGAAGCTGCTTCTAGTTAGATGCGTTCAGTGACGGCAGGATGAAGTGAAAATTCTTCAACAAACCTCTTCTTTGGATAATCCCCCACGCTCTACCGCTTCCAAAAGGGACACAATGGCGCCTCCACTGCTAAAGGTAGCCTCGTCATGCGACCTCTTGACAAAGTCTTCCCAGCGGCGCTGAAACTCTCGAAGTTTTGGCATTGCCGAACCAGGTAGATACTTGGCAAATGCATATCGATTGATACCGCCGCTAAATGCGTCCCTAAATAAAGCCTCTCTTAAAGGTCCGATCGTGTAGATCTCATGCCGCTGGGCTGCCGACAAAGGACCAAAGAAGATGCTCGCGACCATAAAAAAGGGACAGTACTTAAGGTCATCTGTTACGTTAATGGTGGTACTATTGTTATCCTTGTTCATCGATTGTAAGAACACCCTTGCTTCGTTGAGCAATAGCAATGTCCTCTGGAGAGATGCTGGCCGCGTAAAGTGGTGTTCAAAGGGTGCGCGAACTCTCACCCACCGCTTCTGACTGACAACGCCGACGCAAGAGCCCAGTAGCTCTCCAAAAAGCCATCCTGCGTTGTTATCGGATGCTTTAATATGATTATGTGAATCTTTGTAGAAGGCCTGTACGTGCTCAGGTTTAGTTATAACGCTGATCAGCATGCATTAGTGAGCATTATGACACTACTGTATCCTGGGCGATTCTCACACTTCGCGCTTGAAGCCTGACCAGATACTGTATATAGATCCATAGTCCTTTCTCCATCTTCGAGCTGCATTTCGTCCGCTAAAGAATTTCTCTGTTCCTTGTCCGTTAGGAAAGCGAAAGGATGGGCCGGGAAATGATTTTATGCGACTAAATCGTTGGACGGACTACAATGGCAAGGCCAGATAGATTAGCACAAAGTAGTTTAATCGAATTTATAATTTATGAATGAAATCTCCAAAGAAATTCCTTACCAGGCTAAAGATCAATAAGGCAATGAAAAGAAGCAAGATGAGGATATGGTAGTCGCTCAGTTGGTTCACCAAATGCGAAAGCATGATTCAACGCACGACACTGTAAATTGGAAGCATTTGAGGAACCGGCGAAATTCTTTTTTTCTTTCGATGAACTATTCAAAGTTACTATATTCTCTCTGGTGTTTGACACTTATTGCTTGTATAATACTCTGTGATAGATTGATGTCGGTAACCGACGGTCCGATTACAGTCGGGTCGTCGGGGTCAGAAGAAGATGGCTGACATCAGTCAAGGCGATCATGACGCTGGGTATCTATCAACATGAATCGTGTTCTTATTTAAATGTATACTATATACTCGAGTCATGGACTAGGATAAACGATTCTTCTCACTCCATTATGCAGCTTTAGACTCGACCGTCATGGCATCATTACCCACCAACTTGTGCGAACTGTTCGCCCAGTCCGTTCGGCAATATCCAGAAAATCTTGCAGTCGAACATGAAGATGGATCTTTTACTTATAAGGAGTTAGATGAAACTTCATCAGCCTTAGCTCACGATTTGAAACTTCTGCGAGTTGGAAGGGGATCACTAGTTCTGTTGGTAACAACTCATGGAAGCTTCAACATTATCGCAATCCTAGCTATTCTAAAAGCTGGAGGCTGCTTTGTTCCCATCGATCGCAAGACATGGTCACCTGAAATGATTAATTACGTATGCGACACAGTCGAAAGTCACATCATTATCAATACTACGCCAGAACCCTTCTCAGCCGCCAAGGGGTCGCATCACGTATTGCATTTGACTAGTCTTCCGACGATATCGTCGTCTCAGATATCCCCGTCCGTATACCCTCAGACCTTGGAAGATGATGATGCATGCATTATCTTTACAAGTGGTAGTACCGGGTGCCCAAAAGGCGTCATCCTCTCGCACAAGTCTTTGTGCTTATACTCTACGACGAGTCCCATAAACTTGGACATCGTTCCAGGAGATAGGCTGCTCCATATTTTGTCGGTGGCTTTTGATGGTAAGCATTATTTTTATCCTATTTTTATCCTCTATATAACTCAGCTAATACTATATTCCAGCCTGCGCTTGTATGCTTTTCTCAACCTTAGGAAATGGTGGCACCGTGGTCCCAACCCAAGCCGAAGACATATACGCCAAAGCCCCTTCATGTACTGTAGCGGCTGCTACACCTTCAATACTGAACACTATAATGGATTCTTCGTCGGATCCTAACATTTTAAATCACGTTCATACCGTCATCCTCGGCGGCGAGACCGCAAAGCAGGATTTGCTGCGATCCCTGTTGGATGCTGGTATTCGAGTTCTGGTCGGATATGGAGCGACAGAGACGACCTCCATGGGCTCTATACATGTTGTAACCCGTGACCCAGAAACGAATGCAATCAATCCGCTGCTGATCGGGGCTTCAATTAAACAAAGCCCAATTCATCTTGTGAACAGCGACGATCAACTGATCGAAGACAATTTTGCGGAAGGGGAGATACTCATTGCAGGAGATGGTCTCTCTCGTGGATATTACAAGGATGATGCGAAAACGAATAGTACTTTCATCTACTGGAATTCAACACGAGTTTATAAAACTGGCGATTATGGACGATGGATACCAAATCCTGAAGGCGGCCGGTTGATCGAGTTCCGCGGACGAAAAGATAGAACAGTCAAGAATGGAGGGTTCCTCGTGAATCTAGACCGAGACGTTGAAAATGCTCTCAGCCATGTGGGTATGTCACTCGGTGTAACATCCGTCTGCGCTGCAGTGACAGAGGATGGGATTGTCGCAGTGGTGACTCCAGAAAGCATTGATACCATGGCACTTTTAGCGAAAGCGAGGGACTCCATGTCTACTTACTGTATTCCGTATCGAATAGAGGCTGTGGAATCATTTCCTACATCTTCCAACGGTAAAGTACAGCATAGAAAAGTGCTGGAGGTTATCTCAGCTACGGATGGCAAAGTGGGCTCGAACAAGCCTGTTGCCCTGCCTTCACCACCCGCATTACAACAGTCAGATTCCGACACAAGCGTCGGGGAAGAACGGCTCTCGGAAATTCTGAACGCTGCTTCAAATGTATTTGGACTCTCTGGAGGTGGACTGAAAAGAATACAAGGAGGCGATTCTTTCTTAAAGCTAGGTGGCTCGTCACTTTTAGCATTCAAGCTTGCTTCAACCCTCCGCCAGCGAAATCTCAATATCTCCCCCAAAGATCTTTTTAGTGGTCATACATTTCAGGAACTAGCGAAATACTCATCAAATATTAATATTGCAGAAGAAGGGTCATTGCCGTCACCCGCAGATGAGAGATTCGATGTTACGCAGAAATTAGCATCTCTCCGAAGCCAGGCTCGGAGCATTTTGGCTTTGGAGAATGATAGCTTTGACATTGGTCCCCTGACCAGCTTACAGCTGACTCTGGCATTGCCAACATTGAGTTGCAGCTGGAAGAATGTTAACCAAGTCAAATTGGCTTACACAACCGAATATGCAAGCATGATTGAGAGAGCATGGCGAGCAGTGTGGCAAGCGGAACCAGTATTCAGAACTGAGCTATGTTTGACCATAGGATGCGGCGCTCAGATTGTCCACAAACGACCAATGAGAAAGCCCAAGATGCAGTTCTTTAATCACTCGTCCGATTATGAAGAAGCAGTCCAGAAAGCCGATACTAATGTCGGATTGGGCTGCTCGCTGGAATTTATTGTATATCACCCAACTGCCGTTCTCGGAGTCACGGCAGCCGTCAGCATGCCAAAAGAAATTGAAGAGCTGACAATAGTCTTAACTGCTCATCACAGCCTAATGGACGGCTTGTCATTGCAGATCCTCCTGGCGAATGTTGAACACGCTGCAAGGGGACGGCAGATTCCCCGCAGTCTCAGTTCCATTGAGGCCTATCTCGAGTTGATATCAATCCAGCAAAAGAAAGATGCCAGTGCCAGAAGTTTCTTTTCCGAATACTTGAGAAAGGTGCGACTGGCAGACAACCTCCCTAAGAAGCCCGATATCGCCATTGGAGGGAACATGAGCCTCACTAGCCCGAATAACTCTATCTTATTCGGGCCCTCTGTTAACAGTGATGAAGTTGCTCACTTTGCAACCCAAATTGGTGTATCGCCAGCATGCGTCTATTATACTGCCTGGGCAATGGCTATGAGCACTTTTGAGAACAACTCCACAATCGTCATGGGCTCCGTGTTCTCTAACAGAGCGTCGCACCCTGAATTCCATAACGTGATTGGTTTATACATGTCAACTTTGCCTTTGGTTGTCAGTATTGATGCAAATGAAACAGTATACCAGCTTCTTCACAGGACTATGGGCGACATACTTTCTCTCGGGGAATATGCTTGGGCACGCTCGGATCAAGTTGGCATCGGCAGCCACATGAATAGCCTGGTGGCACTTCAACCACCACTTCCTGATGAGAACTCACACCCTCCAGCTATTCGGGCAGAGTCGGTGGAGAACAGCGAGTTTCCACTATCGCTGTTGATAGAATCCAATGGAGAATTTCGCATTTTGCACAATAGCGGTGTGTTTGATGAAGGTGCAATCCGACGGTTAGGCGGGCATTTCAAGCAAGCACTTCGGGGCGTGCTAAATCACACCTTGGTGGGCGAATGTATGAGGTTGAATGCTCTTCAAGAAACTGTATATCTGAAGGCGGAAAAGGTCAGGATCGGGCAAAGTGAGCAAACAGTCAAGAGGGCCTTGGAGGACTCGATCGACCGGTTCCAAGAGTACATCGCCATTGAGGATTGCAAAGGCAACACGCTCACTTATAGACAACTCGAACAGCAAACAAACATTATTGCCAGCATGATTAATGAACATTTATCTGATACAACGGCTACGAGTGTTGCCATATATGGCGATGGATCAGTCGGGTGGCTGCTAGGCTTGTTAGGAATTCTCAAAACAAGCCGTACCTTTGTTCCTCTTGACCCTAAGTGGTCGATGGAAAGAAAGGCTATGGTTCTAGAAGCTAGCAAGGCAGCTGCCATTGTTGTCCCCAGCTCTGCACAGCAAAACGAAGTCCCAATGATCGGTGCGAAGAAAGCATTAACCATAGATCATATGCTATCTGTTGATGAACGGGCCGCAAGACTACCTGATACTGGCCATGCAGACTCTGTTCTTGTTTACATCTTTACTTCGGGGACAACTGGAGCGCCAAAAGGTATCCCTACAACTCATCGATCATTTCTGGCATTCCAGAGCAATCCCGAGGCGACGATGTTTGCTGCTCCTGGGAGGCGAACTGCCCAGTTTATGTCACCTGCCTTTGATGCTTGCAACGAAGAAATCTTTTCTGCGCTACTGCACGGAGCAACACTTGTTCTGAGAGATCCATTAGATCCATATGCCCATCTACTGAAAGTTAATACAGTAACCATGACCCCGGCAGTTTTGTCTGTGCTGGAGCCAGAGCATTACCCAAATCTTGAGATTGTGAGTCGTTACCACTTCGACATGCGTTCTCTGCTAACAATGTTCAATGTTCAATGTTGAAGATATATGCCACCGGAGAAGCGATAACGGCTCCTATTGTCGAAAAGTTCGCTACTAAGAAGCTGCTTTACAATGCTTACGGGCCAGCAGAGGTATGTCAATTACTTAGCTTTTCCAGACACAGCTAATTAATTATTTCCCGAAGTGTTCCATTAGCACGTCATTTGAACGAATGATCCAAGGGGATGTTATCACTATTGGAAAGGCTTCAGCGACAGCGCGCATGTACCTTCTCGATGAAAAGCAGAATCCCGTTCCGAAAGGAGTTCAGGGCGAGATATACCTTGCCGGTGTGCAGGTGCTTGAACGGTACATCAACGCTCCTGAACAGACGGCTTTACGTGTACTCCCCGATCCATGGCATCCAAAAGAACGGATGTATCGCACCGGCGACTATGGCATCTGTGTGAAAGATGGCCGGGTGATATATATGGGTCGAATAGACCGTCAAGTCAAAATTCGTGGCTTTCGCATCGAGCTTGATGGAGTAGAACATGCGATTCTGTCTGAGCCAGCGATCGATGACATTTCGCAGTGCGCTGTGCTGGCAATTGATGGTTTACTCGTGGCATATATCACATTTGGCTCAAAGAACTCCCAAACTCCGACACAAGAGCGGATAGATCGGCTCCGTAATAGGATGCTCGAAACACAACTTCCTTCATGGGTCCCCCAGCAGATTGTCCCAATTACTGATTTCCCAAAGTCAGTAAATGGGAAAGTGGATAACAAAGCTCTGGAACAGATGTACAGATCAAGGTCTTTTCACCACGACGAGACTGTGCCTGGACCCTCCATATCAACGGACGTTAATGGTGTTGAATCCAAGCTATCAGAGGCATGGTGCGAAATTCTTCAACTAATACCTCCCGTACGCCTGAGTCCTGAGGATAATTTCTTCTCCTTGGGTGGGCACTCGGTGTTGGTCCTACTTTTAGCTACGAAACTTACGGGAATATTTGCTGTTGAGATTACAACTCGTGAACTTTTGCCATCTCCAGTGTTCCAAGACCAAGTTAACGCGATTAAACATCTACTGGAAACTAAGAGAGGCTCAGAGGGTCATACAAAGGAGCCAATACGCAGCCACGCATTGCCAATAGGGAAGTTAACAGAGCTGGAAAAGCAAGTGTGGTTCCAATATCAGGTTGGAACAACAGTCACAGCATTCAACATTGCCAACATTTTAACCGTCAATGGTCAAATAGATTACACCAGGCTCGTGAATTCTGTCAATACAGCATTAGTGTCGGACCCAGTACTTAGCTGCAATTTCGTGGAAGGACCTGACGGCCTGAGGAGAGTCATTCGAAGCTCGGCTCCTCAAGTTCGCGAAGTGGAACAGCTCGATATCGCATCAGAGATAAACTATGCCTTCGACTTGGAGCATGATGAGCTAATTCGTGTCCATATTATACGCCAACCTGAAGAACTAGGAGGCACAGAGAAGACATCAATGACCGAGATCGTCATCACAACTTCTCACAGTATCGCTGATTTGGCCACATTGCAAAACTTACTTCGGCTCGTCTCAACCGCATACGCAGGAAAAGTCATAAAAGCACACAAAGAGCCACAGCATCTGAGCTCGAGTCACTGGCAATATACTCCCACAATGCTTGAGCAAAGCTTTTGGAGAGAATATTTGCGTAAAGATGATGCAGAGAGCTCCAAATTATCCCATTTCAAGGTCCCGCTTCTTCCTTCCGTGACGGCAGCCTTCCATGGGACATCCCGAATTTGCGAGTTCCGCGGGAATCTAATCACTAGACTGAATGCTTTGATAGAGCGGCTTGGTATCACACACCATCACATGGCATTAACAGTCGCTGCTCTTCTTCTGCAGTGGTTGATGAAAGAGGATGACATTGTATTGGGGGCTCCAAATGCCAATCGTTGTACCTCAATTGAACGAGAAGCATTAGGACAGTTCCTCGATCGACTCCCCATTCGCATACTGCTCGATTGTCCACGATCTACTTCAGGCGGAGCGAGCCTCACGCAGATACTGACAAATGTCCGTGATTCGGCAATCACAGCTTTAACCAATGCGATCCCATTCTCTAAAATCTTGGAGGCACTCAACATCTCAAGCGGTGGTCTTCAACATCCAATCTTTGATTGCATGGTGACATTTCATCTCCGAAACAATAGCCTCGATAAGTGGCTGCAGTTACCAGATTGCGATGTGACTGTATCTCCTCGTTTTGCTGAAGGGGCCAAATTCCCACTAATGTTGGAATGGTTCGAACTTGATGCAGACTATTGGTCGCTTCATATCGAGCACGATACAAACCGGTTACCAAATGCAATTATTGACACCATTGAGCATGTTCTAGAGGCAATTCTCGAGGCAATAGCGGATGAATGTCTGTTACTTGATCTACATACTCGCCTAGCAGATGCTACGGAAGCTAGTTCAAGCTCAATGGATCACAATGGGACGTCAGTTTCGAACGGCGGTCTGCCTCGCGTGCCAGGGCTTGGGCTATTGCTACCATTTTCGGAGGTAATTAATATGATTCAGACAGAGATGAAGCTATGCTTAGATAAGGTCGATGTACAAATATTACCCAACACGTCGTTTTTCTCTGTTGGAGCAGATTCCAATGCTGCAATCGCACTTCGTCATCGACTACGGGCACTGGGGCTTGAGGTGCCTTTGAGGGCGATATTTACGGCGAAGAGTCCGATGGAAATTGCAAGACATGTTACAGTATAGATAACTTAGGCATTGTTACAACTTTCAGTTTGTGCTATGGGCTATTATAGAATTCAGAATACAAGATTGAGTACTAGATAGCCATATAATCCAACTTTAAAATATTCATTTATGCGACATCACTCGTGTCTTCCAATATGTACTTATTTATAGAAGAGCTTTAATGCATATAATTTTTTATGAGCTATGATAAGATTCCTAGATACAGAGTAGATATCACGCAAGGGCACTGAGTCTTCCGCTAACGTTGCTGAATGTCGGGAACCGAGCTCGATGACTACATTCCTCATCGATAACGTCTATTCACTTTTCACTTTTCATGTTCCTTCTTTTGGGCTGTCATAATTAACATTTTAGTAAAAACAATTTCGCAAATGGCTAACGAAACAAAGCTTCCGATCTGGAAAATTGCGGCGCAAGAGGAAGAACATATTTGGTATCTTGGATATGGCTCGAACATGAAAGCCAGCTCCATGAAGGGTCGAAACATCACTCCATTGGCTACCAGGATTGTCAATGTCCCAACCCATTATGTCACATTCGACGTCTTTGGAATCCCGTATTCCGAGCCATGCTATGCTAGCATCGAAGAATTCCCAAATGGTGGAACTGGAAAACACCAACTGCTCCACGGCGACACAAAGATTCCTGTTCCGTCACTGTGCGGCATTGCCCATCTTTTGACTGCAGTCGAGTTTCACCGGCTACTGGTCACTGAAGGCAGCGGAGTTGTGTACGCTATTGTTAAGCTCCAAGCATACCAATTAGACGAAGCGCACAAAGTCTCTGGTGACAGCTTCGCTGTATATACTTTGAAGGCAAAATGGCCATTGCGGCCTAACGGTACACCAAGTGCTCGATATGTGGTAAGTGGTGAAAGCCGTGGATCACTCATCAATTACTTCTATTAATTTGTGATTAGAATCTTTTCCTCCATGGAGCTAGGGAAAATGACCTACCACCCGAATACATCAAATACCTTGAAAGCTTCCCTCGCTATCTAAAACTAGAAGGATCAGATAGAACATACGGCCAACTGGTCTTTGACGCAGGATGGAGGCCATTCTTGAAGCGGCTAGTTCGTCTTACGACTTGGAGAGTTGATGATGATGGCAATTGTCCAGCATACATCGCCTTGATAATTGTCTGGGCATACCGACTAATGTGGTTATATCACGATTATGTCCATAGGCATATTCTAGGTAGAGGCGACGGGGGTAAAATACTCTGGGAGGCTATAGATCAATAAGCTATCGGAAGAATACGTCCTGAAAACTGGCTTAGAATAATACTACATCACTTGCGGCGTCATAAATAGTCTCGAAGTAGTTAGATTACATCACCAATCCTTACCGAACCTCGCTCATATTGCAAGTCTTCGTAACAAATACCCGCTATTCAACAACACCTCTAACCCGCTTAACCTCCTCTCTGACTTGCTCGTCCCAGATCGGCTCGATCCAATCATGTAACATTTCTACACCTTTCTCTTTCATCATTTCTGAGACGTTTTGTACCTCGTCTAGAACTCGTAGCACATTCAAGCCGACTATTCCTTTGATGGACGGCTCAGATATGCCGCGCATTAGCAGCTCAGCGATAAGGAAGGGGAACTTGGAAACATCCTCTAGCCCAAGGGGAGTTTGCATAACACCATCGAAGTCGGATCCAATGCCCATATGCTCATATCCAATTCTCTCTCCAACATATTGTATGTGGTCTGCGACTCTGCTCAAAGTCGGATTATTGGCATCGGTAAGTTTGCGAAGAAACGACACCATGAAAACGCCGCCATTAATCTTCAACATATCCAAAACATCGTCCGGACTATTGCGCGGATGCCATGTTACGGAAGAGCTTATTTGAGAGTAAATCATCGTTGATCAATCGAGCGTGAACTGAGAACTAGGAGATCCAACTAACCATGAAGAATGAGAGAAGATGACTGGAGCCTTAGCTATGGACAAAGCTTCCTTCTGGACCTGTACCGATGTGTGCGATAGATCAACAATCCTATCATAATTAGTATTGATAACATGTCGTAGAAAGCACACAACACTCATACATCCCAATTCGATTCATTTCCTTGATCATTTCCACGCCTTTCTCAGACAATCCACCGTGATGAGAGGCGGCGGCGGCGTTCTCGAGGTTCCGTTAGTATCATGCCAAGAATAATTTTCTCTCTTTAGTGAAATTACTAACAGTTGAATCTGCATAGAGATTGTTACTGTTGTGCGTTAGAGTGATGTAGCGCACACCCAGCCTGTGGAAGTTTCTCAAAGCACTGGCACTATTGGCAATCTGGTGCAAGCCCTCGACACCAATCAAGCTTGCTACTTTGCCAGATTGGAAAGCTTGCCATACTTCATTAGAAGTTGTCGCAAGCTGGAGATCATCAGGATACCTTTCGACTAATGTATGAATGATGTCGATTTGCTGAAGTGTGGCTCGAAGGCTCTCGTGGTGAACTTCGGTGGAGAAATTGTTGGTCGAATTTTCGGTCGGGCTGCGAACACAACACCTGGTTAGCATATCCAAAAACATTAAACAAACGTTCAATTCTTACCAAGGTACATAAGCGCTCCAGAATACACCTCCAACACAGCCCTTTCGTAGTCGTTCTATATCAGTGTGAGCAACGACCATTTGGCGAGCATCAATTTCGCCAATTCTGCCGGAATGCCACCCTCGAATCATAAACGGAAAGTCATTATGTCCATCTGCGCCATAATTAGTTTCGCGAATTGCATTGTCAGTGCTAAGAATACATCCCGACTAGAGGAGTTTCGGCCAGTAATTTCTTAGCCAGAGTGAGATACTTATTAGCGGGCTCCATGATTGTCGAGTGGATCGATAGTCCGCAGTATTTGGAGAACCTTGTATAGAGAAAGATTGAAATATATATGTCAACGCTGTAAGTAACATGTCGGCCATCGAGCTCTAGCACGTAGATGAGAGAACTTAAGTGATTGTGTAGTGAATGCAAATTAAACCCCAGTATATTTCTTCAGATACGCTACTACTAGAATACCCATGAAAATTGCTCATTCCCCAATGACGTCCTCCTTTCTAGAGTCCATCTCCATATACGCCTTCATTACTCCTGGAATCTGAGAGAATCTCTCGCTCCATTCCTTCAGGGCAGGAAAGTCATCTTTGCTTAGTCCCATGCGAGCCATAGTTGGATCATCGGCAAAAGGATAAATCGCAATGTCAGCAATTGTTGGTCGACCTTTGAGGCCAATAAATGTTTGACCAGGCTGAGAAAGATGTTTGTCGAGGATACCGTATTGGACCCTCAGATCAGCCAGCATTCTAAAACATTTTTTTTTAGCTTAAACAACACATGGATAAAAAGAGATAGTCGTACTTGGCTTCCGCTTTGGGGTTCTTATCCTCCGGCTTTCGAATAGAATACCACACCCAGTACTTTGCAGTGGGCCTATTTAGCAGTCAGTTGCCGATTCGACAGATCAATGGCAGACTACGTACCCAAGAGATGCAGTTTCAAATGTCAGCCAGTTCCCAATTTCCAACTGCTCTGCAGCAGTCGACCCTGACCATGACTTTTCGACATCATACTTGTTGGCTAGGTGCAAGAGAATCTGAGAGCTGTCCCATGAGGTAATACGTTCACCAAGAGAGCTATCTATCATTGCAGGTACATATTTCTGAGGATGAATCCTGGTGTACCACTCCGTCCTTGTTGCTGGCCCATCTAGGCAGACCGCATCGTAATCCTTGTTAATGCACTCGAGCAGAATGATTGGCTTGATCCAATTCTGGTATCGCCCCTCGACGACAAAGATTAGTGGCTTGTCTGGAACATCGAGGTCCAAGGATTTTGCGGATAGTTTGTTGATCGGCATCTCGGTTACGAAGAGCGCTGAAAACTCGATGTTCTAACCCAAGATAGTAGTAATTGAATGGAATACAAACATCAACTTGATATCATCGGTTTGGACAGCTCGTAAATGAATGTGACGGGGCAAATATCTAGACATGTTAACGTATCTGCGACATGTCGGGAACCGGCCATGAGTCTCGAAGTTCCCGATGATGCGCCTCGATCACCGAGATCTATGGTATGGGTTCGGCTTTCAACAAGCCTACGACCTGACCTTATCCATTCATATTTCCACTTTATTCTACAAACCCGGGTGGCAAGAGAGATCAACTTTGTAATACCCTTCACCGTTTGGTACGACATGGGGCAGCTCCAGCCGTTACCATGGGATAGCTCACCTGATGGAGTACAATCTTCACATTAAGTGTTTCTCAAGAGCTTTGCCAAAAAGGCATCAAGCCTTTTCTGACAGTGAGTGGTATAGCTTCAGCGCTGAACAGGAATGTTGAATGCCCAATTAATGAATTATGGTACATTGCACTTCTAGAAACATAAAATTGTTACATCGCGAACATTTCCCGTCATATCATAATCTCCACCATAGCAAACAACTACCAATCTTGTGGAACAGAGCTGCATGGGATCCATGTTCACCGTAGGCGGCTACTTGCTTAGGCGGGACTATTCCCTGTACCCACGACAGGCATTAGATTACGCTGTACACTTGACAGAGAGGAGGATAATGGTCCAGACAGCGGGATTGGCAATCTGTATAGACAGAATCGTCAGTGAGATTTGAAGACAATCGACTAATAATTCTAAATAATTACTAATGATCATCGATAATACAGAGTAACCTTGAGACCACATTCCGCTGCTCTAGCAAACCTAGGGAAGCCCATCAAACTGCAGTAAGCCGATTAATTTGGCCAATCTATCCAAGCAATTTAATGAAACACTATCACACTGCTCTTCAGTAAACTCCGATGTTTCATCCATAACGAGTCTCCATTCCTGTATCTTTTCATTCAGCTCAAGACAAGTATCCACCAGAACCACCTCTGCTAGGATCCTTGCCTCATTCCCTTCAAGTGTAAGTTTCCCAAGTTTCATCTCGCCGAGCATCAACTGGCAGCTTGGTGATGGTTGTGTTGCCGGAAACAAAGGGCTTAGATGGTCATGTTGTGATAGAGGAGGCGACAGCAGTAACCCCGCGTCGCTGGTCGACCGTGTTCTTGGTTGTATTGTATTTGTAGCAGCATTCAAGTAGGCCGCTTCATAAAAACAAACAAGTCGTGAGGTGATTTGAGACAACATATTCGTCATCCGTTTGGTGGTGACACATCTTTCACAGTTGATGATTGTTTGGAAATAGCCAATGAATTCAGAGCCGGTTTGTAGAAGGTCATCGAAGGAAAGTTTCTCTTGGCCGAGATTTGCTGCAATTGTTTGGAGCCCGGTGAACGAACAGCTGCAATGGTTTCGCTGCATGTTGAAACAAAATGTCCTGAAGTAGATAGTTTTTCTGTCTCTTGCAAAATAGCTTTATATACGACCTCCGATATTACTACATATTCACTACGGTAACTTATCATGCTTACTTGAGACAAGATTTAATGCGATTGATGCTATTGGATCATCTCATCTTTCCCCTGGCCACTCCTAACATTCCCAATCTGTTCATAGAAATAACAAGTTCCTATTCATCGTCAACATCGCCATGAAGGCAGTAGCCAAATGGGCTCTGCAGCTTCCGTAGGATTTACATTATAACGGTCATCAAGCACCTACCAAGTATATTAGTAGCTGTACCATGACCTACTTGCGACTCTCATCAGTATCTAGACGGCTATATAGCGTCAAGTGTATATCGTGGAGCAACCTACCTATCAAGGTGTTAGGCGAAGTTTTGTGTATCGTCGCACAACAGGAAGGTATAGCAGTCAAGATAGCCATCAGGTACGTAATCGTATCTCATATTGGCAGTTACTGAGCTCCATAAACTCCACTTTCACAGTATTCAGGTCACAATTGATACATGTGTACAATTTGTGAAGCAGGAAGGCTGATGGCATGTCGGGTCGTCGGGAAAGGCACCATCACGGAACCTCGTGGATTGCCCAATCTCCACGTCCCTTCTAACCGGGTTACCGATCATGGACGCAGTTGAGCATTCAAGAACTTTGACAATAAGTAAGTTTGTTTAGCAGCTTTCTTCTCCATCGAGTAAGCCATCAATTCCCTCACGCGTAAGAGGGATGAATTAAAGATCAGGATAGCTCCGGCGAATTGTCAGGATATTTTTGGCTCAACTTTGAATCACAACAACGAGCGGTAGCTGCATCCCAAGCATGCCGTGCTTCGGCCGTTTGTTCATCGCCACTGTCCGTGTACTGGCAGAAAAGAGGGTACTGGCAATGAAATTACAGGCCCTGTATTAGTCAAACATGACTTGTGAAACAGAGTCCATCATAAGCCGTTGATAACATCAGTACAGCAGGATTGTCCCCCTCTCTGTGTACCAAGAGACGGCTGGATTGGACGGGTGGAGCAAACAAGTCCACGACACGGGGAGACGCGTATTGAAATGAACAAACAACCAAACATCTTCCAGTAATACCAATCGCAGTCGACGATCCTCACAAACATTCGCGGCAATTTGCATTCGAGATGGCTGGTACCGATGGAGGAGTCCGGCAGAGAGGGAAACCCCCAAAATACAGAACCTCATGCGATAACTGCCAGACGGCAAAGGTGAAATGTGGCCATGAAAAGCCATCTTGTCGCCGATGTTCCGTGCACAGAGTGGACTGTGTGTACAGCCTGTCGCGTCGAATGGGCCGTCCGAGAGCGAAGAAAGTCGTCGCGGATGAGCCCAATCGTAGGCTGCCAACTAGCACAGAATCAACTGAGACAGAGATCCCAAAGCCTGCCACTCCGGACACTGAGATTGAAGATGCTGAGCTTACAACACACTTAGCTGAGTCTTCCGCCATGGAGGCTGAGCCGAGCGATCCTCAAGCAGCTGTGCCTGGACAAGTACCCGAGCCTTGGGCGCCTTTGCTAGGCGACCTGGGGCAACTTAACGAAACAGAAGCCATCAACAAGCTCAATCAGACGCCGCAACCGGAGAATGATTCGATAGAGTTCTTATCAACAGAGTCTCCAATGGAGCTCGTTGAAATAACTGCATTTGATGGAATGCCATCGTTTTTGGACGATATGTCGAGCTCTCTTCAACCCCAAACTTCTGCGTCAGCGATTCCCGTGGGGCTTTTTGATCCTCATGACATGCTATCGTTTGCCTTGCCAGCTATGAACGCAAAATCAGATGCAAATGATTCGCTATCAATGCAGCAACCCGAGCCGTCCTTAGCACGAGAGCCATGCATGTGTCAGCACTCGACCACATCATCGGGGAACAATGTCATATTGGTTCTTAGCAACAAGGATCAACCAAATGGGCTGCTACAATATTCATCAACCTCATTTCAAGATGCGAGTTGTTCTCCTCGAGATGAGTTTTCAGAGTCGTCATCAAATACCTCGCAGCCCAGCGACTCATCATCGAGTCTTCATACCAGTCGTGAAAGCAGCTCTGAATTGTCTTGGCGCACAACGCAAGTCACATTGGTCCACACTCAATGCGACTGCATGGAAACCATTTCGAAGCGCATTGCAAGTCTGAAGCTGGAGCAACAGAGTTCAAGCTTCATGCCAATAGATTGTGTCTTAATGCTGGAGAAGGAGGTGGAAGAATCGCTTGCTCATCTCCACCAATGTAAAAACTGCCGGCTTGACAGTATCTTGCATTTATTGGCGCTGATTAGTGTCCGCATGATGCTCGATATTCTGCAAAAGACTGCTCGCAGCGAGTTTGTGTCGAGACCCAAGTCAGTGCCAGACAGCCCAAGTGACGACATTGCCCTTTGCATAGGTAACTTTAAGGTTCCCTCACGAGTACGGTTTAGGTTTCTTCGGAAGGCGTTGCAGGCCCGATTTCATGGATTGGTGGCATTAATCGAAGAGCGAGAGAGACTAGTGACTGGAAAGAAGCAAGATAGTTTCTCAAAGTCAGCATCTTCATTACTGGGTGATATATCACGGGGCTTGCGAACTATCATGGGGTGGATTGAGCTGTGGAATGCAAGACAGGCTTAGATACTCTTCCAATTATCATTAAGTAAACTACAATTGTGGCTCACGTTTGTGATTGCGTGATACTGGTCCATTTTGAGGTCATTTTTCGTGTAGCTACTTAGATGTACTGCTCGATGAATGGGGATTTCTGTGGCTTTTGTGTGAACGGTATGAATTGTTGTCCTGAGTATCTACAACTCTAACTACACTTTGATGCTCACCAAGACCGATTAAGGTAAAAAAGAAGCTTCATTAATATTCCTCATCACGATCTCAACAGTATCACGGCATCCATTCTCGGAATTTCTTACGGTTTGGTGGGTGGTTTCAACCATGAGCGACGATTCCAGGGTAGCGGGCGGCGGGTTACGTGCGACATGAATGGGGTGGCCAAACGAGCATCTGCTCAAGCGGCGCCGTTTGACGCGCATTTTCGGTGACCGAATACTCAAATATGGCTACCTGCATGTTTTGTTCCTTTTAAGAAAAAATTCCAGATGTACTACTGAATCATTCCTCTGGAACCCTTTCATAGAGGCCTTCACAATGTGGCAGAACGATCTATTGAGCATGGAAAAAACTATTTTGCGGTATCTTCTACAACGCGCCGTAGAAAACCCAGTGGCTACTACAGCCGTTGTCGTTGGTTCTTCAATTCTGCTGATATTATTCTTTGACTGGCTCAATTACCAAAAACAGCGAAAACGACTTGGGAATATCCCCGTTGTAGGCGACGCGCCATATCTCTGGAAGCGGCTTCGTTGGACCGAAAATGAGTCAAACTTGAACGGTGTTCTCCAGCGCGGTTACGATACGGTAAGATGGCATCAAACAATCCCATACAATTGATGTGATTGCAGCTGATCATGAGTAGTTCAGCAAAAAGCTCAAACCGTGGGCGTATTGGGGCCAACACGATGATTTCATCCTTGTGCTTCCTCCGGGAGCATCTGATGAGGTGAAAAACGCGGATATAAGTCAGATGAGCTTCTTACAGGCCGTCGAAGATGTAAGCTAGTTTCCACTGTAAAAGTTGAAGAGAACTGGGACGATTGACGATCACAGAGTTATCACTTTAGACTGCACACCAATATCCTGGGCCGTGCACACGTCGACGCTGTCCGGCAATCAGTAAACAAAAACATGAGTGCGTGTGCCTAATGACAAAAGAACAATACAGTTGGCTTACAATAATAGATTCACTGCATGATTCGGTTGTTTTGCAAAGCGATGAATCGATCCCGAAAGTTTTTGACTCTCTCGCTAAAAGTATACTGACTACTATCTATCTCTAAAAAGAGGAGAATCATCTTGCTAACAAGGCTGCAGCACGGGAACCGTTCGCCGGGTTTCTCGAACTTTGGCATTTGGTGCATATGGTTGCGGCATCGTTCCTTATTGGGCCCCATTTCGCGAGCAATTCAGAGTACATGAGCTACATCGAAGATTACTGTCTCAATGTGCCAGGTTTTGTTCACCAGTACTTTTGGGTTCCCGCTCCGCTCCGGAAGATGTTTTGGCATTTATCGCCTGCTGGGTCCAGGGTCCGGAAAGTGATTAAAAAACTGAAGTTTTTCATCATTCCTGAGCTTCGGCGAACAATTGAGATTTGGCGCACGATTGGGCGATCGGATGCCGAATACACATTGCTCGGAGCGATGCTCGATCTGAAAGAAGAGAGAGGCATGATCAAGCGCGACCCTACGGCTATGAGCAGTGAAGAAGAAGAGCGACAGATTGACATATTCTCCGATGAAGTCATCTTTACGGCCTTTGACAGCGCAGGTCCGGTTGTATGCCTCGTCACTCAGCTCCTCTATGAGTCTATTCGGGATGAAAAGCTCACAGAAACCTTGCGGGCTGAGATTTCCACGGCACTTGCTGCTAATAACGGTGAATGGTCTGTGCAGATGATGAGCTCTCTTCCTCGCCTGGAAAGCTTCACGCGGGAAACTCTCCGTGTCAATGGTCCAACCCTATGTGAGTTTCCGCATAATCCACCAGAAACCCTTGAAGGCGCTCGGGAATTTTTAGACATAATCCCAGCTAACAATAATTCAGTCAGTGTTACGCGTTCGGTGCTTAAACCGTTTCAGCTGAAGTCTGGACTCACTCTACGACCTGGAAACATCATCACGTCGCCATCCTGGATGATCCACAGAGACGAAGACAACTATCCGAAAGCACATGAGTTTGATCCATATCGATTTTACGATGAGACGACTAACACTGCCACCACAAAGGCCACGACTGCAAGTAATACTTTTCTGGCCTACGGATACGGGTCGCAAATGTGTCCTGGCCGCTATCTTGGCGTTCGAATGACTCAGATAATTTTTGCCAAGCTGCTGATGCGATATGATGCTCTCTTTGAGGGAGACAAAAGAGCGAAGCCGGATAACATTGTGATGCCAGGCCAGGTGCTTCCATCATACTATGCCAAAATCGTGCTCAAGTTGAGGGACGAGGCAAAGACGCAGACGCACGAGTAAGCATCGCGATGGACGCGTTACTGGCTACATAATGGCCGGATTGTCGGCTTTGTATCCGTACCACTGGCACTAGGCATCGCCTTTAACATCATCTGTTCATGTTTAGATACGCTATGACTGCCAAGAGGCCACCATGATGGACTTCAGCTCAGCACGGGGCGCATTGAGGAACGGGAGAGAAATGACATCAGTCGCGTATTGTTGGTAGCTGTCGGAAACTAATGTAGCTCCATGTTCATTGTTTGGATCAACCAATCGGTAACTTTTAGCTTTGGCCAGGGGTCAGGATCAGCCACTTTGTTTTTGCCGCTACTGCAAACATCATGTCTTGGATATTGCTTAACTTCTATGACTACGCGTATCGCTATATTTCAGCTGGATGGTTTTGAAATGAATGATTAGCCAGTTGAAGTAGAGATTCATATGGTCAGATGAGCAATAGTTTATAGCAGCTATAGTAGCAAACGCCAGAATATGCTCTTCGTTGTAGCCATATCGGCATAACAACAGTGCCTCAACTCACAATTACACCTTGGTCGTACAGCTTGTTGGATTGAGTAAGGACCTGTATTACTACAGAGTCTAACATGTGTTCGTGCTACTATCCCTAGAACCTTGATAGGACCAACAGGTAGGAGATGCCTAGTTGTAATAACGCCCTGAAAACACGAGGAAAATGAACCAAGCGTTTCCAGAGCTGGCCAAAGCCATGCCACAGCCACAACGCGTAGCACACACGATCTTGCCTCGCTTCCTCATTTCCTCTTCGCCGTATGCCTTGTAACCTGTAGTACCTGTAATCTCCTGTCTGTATTGCGCTTCCATACTCTCTCGTGCCGCGTCCTTTCGCCTTGGAGGTGACGGCCGTTTGCACAGCTGTCAAACAGCTGCCACTACCTGGTACCTTTTTAGCACAAGTGACGCAGCTCAAAGTACTGCTAGTTGGCTCAGTGCAGGAACATTCTAGAGATCAGTGCTAATAGATACAAACGGAAAAGTACCCGGGCGTAGGTGTTTGAAAGGGCCCGCCCAATTCTTCCCTCTTCTCCAAACAAAACACCAACGCACCTACGTACCTATTTCTCCTTCTCGTCATCTGCTCGCATCTTCTATTTACGCATTTCCCTCGAAAAAAGGACACTCGTTTCTCTCGATCCTCGCAAGACATTTCCATCGCAAATCTCCTTTCTCGACCATCACGATGAAGGAGGAAGACGAGGCCGCGGGAGGCCTCGAAACAACTCCCAGCGGCAATGAAGTTTCCAACAAGGTCGAACTCGAGACCGAAGCGATCGATGAGCCTCCCAAGGCTGGTTTTGGAACGCTGATGGTATGAGAGATTCTCTACAGAGGTCGATATCTGCTGACGAGCAGCCAGAGGGTGTTTGCCTTTGGCCAACCCAAAGACAGGATGATCCAGATCGTTTGCGCCTTGGCCGCAATTTGCAGTGGCGCTGGTATGTCAAGCACTGGTCAGGTACAACGTCGTTTATGCTTACAATAATTGCAGCAATGCCCTTGATGGCGCTCGTTCTTGGCCGCCTGACTGCCAACTTTACCGACAAAGACGAACAGGCCTCGGCGGATTTCATGAAACATGTGCGAACAAATGCGTATGTGCCATCTCTAATACTGCTAGTATCCTTCTAACAGTGGCAGTCTTTGGTTTCTTTACTTGTTTATTGCCAAGTTTACGGTACGTCGTGATCGTTATGCCCTTCGAGTTCAAGTTTTGTGAGCCTAACCCTATTTTCTAGCTCGTGTACATCTGGAGTTTTGGCTTTGGCTATTCTGCCAATCGAATGGTGCAAGCTTTACGACTCAAGGTACTGTATAGCTCTATGCATGAGTTGTTCCATGGTGTACTCTCTAATGCTCTATTGCCAGTGTCTGAACCGTATCCTACATCGCAGTGTCACGGCCCACGATGCTCAAACGCCAGGAGCTCTGTCGAATGCAATCACAATCCACTGCAATTCCATTCAATCAGCACTGTCCGATCGAATCGGAATCATGATACAAGCTTTTGCCATGCTCTTGGCCTCTTTTGCCGTCGCTTTTTCGCAGTCGTGGCATCTCACATTGGTCATGCTGGGCCTCGTGTTCCTCACACTCGGCTTGATCGGGTTCATTGTGGGCAGTGACCAGAAGATAGAAGCTAGGCTTCTCAATAGATATGCTGATTGCAGTGCCATTGCCGAAGATGCTCTTGGAAGCATCAAGACTGTAATAGCTTTTGGAGCTGCTCCCAAGTTCTTGGCCAAGTACGAGGCGATCTTGGACCAAGCCCAGGCAGATGGTAAAAAGAGGGGTCCTTTTGTCGGCTTGATGTTTGCCTGCCAATACTTCTTCATGTTCACAGGCTGGGCTATTGGCTTCTATCTTGGAGCGTATTTGTACAAACATGGAAAAATCACGGATCCTGGAAGAATTCTTTCGTATGTCTGCTTCCTAGCTCGGCTCTATTCTCCCCTTCTAACTGTCACGCAGCGTCTTTTTCGCCATGTTGATTGGCTTGGGAGCCATCATGGCTTTGGGTCCCAACATGCCCTCCTTCATCAAGGCCGTCGCTGCCTCTGGCGATGTTTTCAAGATTCTAGATGACGCAGACCAAACAGATAGCACTGTCGATTCCATTGCTTCGAGGCTCGACACATGTAACGGCCATGTGGAATTGCGCAATGTCTCGTTCTCTTATCCATCGCGGCCAGGCCAGAAAGCCCTCGCGGATGTTGACATCGAATTCACCAGAGGTACATCAACAGCCGTGGTTGGACCGTCAGGTGCAGGAAAAAGCACGCTCATCTCTCTTTTGGAGAGATGGTACCAGCCTACAGCAGGAGTTCTCTCGTTGGATGGGTACGACATCACCGCAGTTGACGCCAAATGGCTAAGGAGCCAGATCGCCCTTGTCCAGCAACAGCCACAGCTATTTGATGCATCGATATTCGAAAACATTACATACGGCCTCATTGGAACCGAACAGGAACATGTTTCCATTGAAGAAAAGATGAGGCTGGTGGAAGAAGCATGCCAAAAAGCTCGAGCGCTCGAATTCATCCACAAGTTACCAAACGTGAGCTTAAGCCCTAATCTGCCCATAAGAAAAGTTGACCACTAACGCGATTATTGTCAGTCATTTGATACTATTGTTGGTGATCAAGGTGGTCTCATATCTGGTGGAGAGAAGCAACGCATTGCGATTGCGCGTGCTTTGATCGGACGGCGTCCCATTCTCCTGATGGACGAGGCAACAAGTGCCCTTGACAATGAGAATTCCAAAGTCATCGAGACCCTTATGACAGCCTCTGAGGACAGAACAACCATATTCATCTCGCACAAGATTTCATCTGCCATGAAAGCTGACAGAATCATTGTCATCGACAAAGGCCAGGTTGTAGAGCAAGGTACTCACGAAGAGCTCATGGCCAGTGGTGGACTGTACAAACGGTTGCATGATGCACAGCTGCAGGACGAGTCCGAACCTACCGAATTCACGCCTGTTGGAAGTTCTTTAATCGAGTTGAATCCTTTGGTCAAAGGGCCGTCTGTTGAGCCAGACTCTTCTCCAAATCAGATTGCGGAAATTCCGGACATCACCAAACGCTCACTCTTCTCTAACCTATGCACCATCGCGAAAGAGCAGAAGCGCTATTGGCCCGTCCTCCTCATTGGCGTCTTCGCTGCTATTATCACGGCACAAATCTTCCCGGTCCAGGCCATTCTCCTCGGCAGAGTCCTGGATACCTTTCAAAACAACACCAGGCAGTCGCAGCAATTATCCTCAGATGCTAATTTTTGGTCTCTCATGTTCTTTGTTGTCGGCCTTGGTGCTCTCATATCCTACGCCGTTTTGGGATTCTTCATGACTTTGCTGGGTATTCGTCTCACCAAGTTTTACCGCCTCGACTACTTCCGTGCCATACTCAACCAGCGCATTGAGTTCTTTGATCGCGTAACATCTGGTGCTCTAGTCTCGAGGCTCTCAACCGATCCCTCGAACCTCCACGAGCTGATTTCTGTCAATTTCGGTCTTCTCATCTCCATCTTCGTGAGTATCATTAGCGGGAGCATCATCGCACTAGTCTTTTCATGGAGACTTGCTCTCGTTGCCATCTTTGGCGCCATGCCCGTCGTCTTCGCTGCCGGTTCCATTCGCATGACACTCGATTCATCTCTCGCAGAAGCAACAGCCAAGATTTTTGAGGAAAGCGCTCGATTTGCATCAGATTCACTATCGTCTATCCGCACAGTCAAGGCATTCACAATGGAAACCATTGTGCAAAAGTCGTATGAGCAACACCTGGCTCAAACAATGAGAAAGCTGTCTCGAAAGACAGCCGCCATAACCCTATTTTTTGCCTTCTCGGAGAGTGCTGAGTTACTTGCTGCCGCACTGGGTTTCTGGTACGGAGGAAAACTGTTGAAAGAGGGGAAAACGTCGACGGAAGAATTCTTTACGGTTTTCATCGCCGTCATTGTTGGTGGACAAGCTGCAGGTGCTCTTTTTGGATTCTCTTCCAGTAGGTCGTTTTCTATTCATCAAAGATGCTAGTACTGACAAGAAATAGACATAAGCAAAGCCAGCATAGCTTCCAACAATATCCTCGGCATTCGACGACAAGCTCATGCGCCTGAAGAGCAAGCACCTTTGCTTGATGTCGAAGGCGAAAAGGATGCAAACGTCGTTGTTGATTTCCGAAACGTCTCATTTGCTTACCCGGCCCGGCCTAAAGTTACTGTACTGAAGAATGTTTCGTTGCAGATTTCGCAGGGACAGACTGTGGCAGTCGTTGGTAGCTCTGGATCTGGAAAATCGACCCTGCTGGCTCTGTTGGATCGATTTTATGACGCCAGAGCCGGGTCTATAAATGTGTTTGGGAAGCCTATCTCATCCGAGGAAGCAGACGTATACCGAAGGCGTTTGGCGATTGTGCCTCAAGAGCCCACCTTGTATCGAGGTCAGTACAATACACAGTGCTACATATGTACAGAACTTCCAGCTAACCAATTTATTGACAGGATCTATCCGCGACAACATTACCCTTGGAGTGGACGAAGACAAAGTTAAGGAAGAAGACATTATCAGCGCGTGCGACGCCGCTAATTTGACCGAGCTGATTGCTTCGCTTCCGGACGGTTTTAATAGCGATTGCGGGGCGAAGGGTATTGCTCTGTCTGGAGGCCAGAAGCAACGCATTGCGATTGCGCGTGCGCTTATCCGAAACCCGGAGATATTGCTGTTGGATGAGCCTACCAGTGCACTGGACGCGGAATCTGAAAAGGTGAGCAAGCTGATCATCTGGGCATGAAAATATGCACTATTGAGAAGGCATGGCTAACGAAGAACAGCTTGTCCAAGAAACCCTCCAAAGTATTCAAGGTGGCAGAACAATGATTCTAGTCACTCACGTAAGTCGATTTGATTTCTAGCTGCAAAAATGGATAAAATTGCTGACCCGCTGCGCTCTCTTTTAGCGACTGAATACTGTCAAAACCGCAGACGTGATCATTGTTATGGCTGCGGGCCATATCGTGGAGCAGGGCACGCATAACGAGCTCATGGCCCAACACGGCCACTACTTCAAGCTATATCAATCTGCTCGTGGAGAGGAAGTTTAAGAATGGAAGTTTATGCGATGATTAATAATGCGCTGCGATAGTTGCAGATGCGGGAAATCTCGGTCCTTTTGTTTCTCTTTTTCTGTCACCTGGGCCATACCATAATAGATGCATGCCACTTAGGCTGGGAGTGTATCCAGACAGTGGCCATACAGAAGCCATGTTATTAATACTTTATTAGTACTTTAATTCAGCCAATAACCCTGGTAATCATCACGATGTTTCTTGAGCCGACCGGAACCTTCTTTGCCATGTCTCATCTTGACTGCTCGTTCATTGATGCGGATGGAGGGACAAAAGACCATACTCTACAGCGATAACTCAGCACACAAAGAGACTTGGAGAATACGATTAACACCGGTTACAATTAAATGAATATCAAGCCATTTATTGGCATCTTTAAGTAAAACTATTGGTAGATACTTGCAGGCCACATGGATACTATATAGATACGGTGAAGAATGGCCTCAAATCAATGGCCGCAGCCCAGGCGTGCCGCAAAGGCGTTATCTGCTTGATGACCCAACCAGCCTGTCTAGCGAGTTTGATCCATTCACTCTCTGTACGCTCCAGTCCATTAGCGGTGGACATCATGGTGAGATCCCCAAATCGCCAGACGCGCGAACTCCGACCCTCTGCAAGCACCGATTCGATGACAACCATTCTCGAGCGGTGAGTGATTTTGATGGCACGGCGGACATTGGACAAGATTTTCACGACATCCGAGTCTGTCCAATTGTGAAGACACCATTTCATCGTGTAGACTTCATAGGAGGGGATTTTGGTCAGAAAGTCTCCGGCATGCAGCTCAGTCATGCGATCCGCAACGTCTGCAAAGACGCCGTCGGGACTGCTGTACTTTGGTTTCACCATCTCAACAATGGGCTCAATTTCAAGAAGAGCGCCTCTCATGGGGGGATTATCCCGTAGCAGAGCGGTGATGAAGTCGCCTCCGCCGCCACCAATGTCGCAGACGACGGCATCGCCCAATTCCTTCCAGTTGTAATCAGCCAGCATTCCGGGCGCTTGCGCTACAGCACCTGCACCAAGGGCTTTGTGGAATTTCTCTTGGAGGCCCTTTTCGGCGAAATAAGTGAATATGCTTTTGTCGGTTGCGTATGTGATTTGAGCGGCGCTGCGGGGTTCTCCTTCTTTGATGGCTTCGGGGATGCCTTTGGCGGCGTCGTAGAATTCATCGCCGTAGAGGCTTACCCAGCGGTGCCATTGGTTCCAATGGTCTTTCTGTAGAAGAGTGGAAGCGGCGTTGTTGGAGTATGTGTCTGAGGTAGGCTCGTAGTCGAATATGCCGTTGTTGTGAAGAACGCGCATGACTTGCTTGAGACGGAGTGGTTGGAGGTTGCTTTGTTGAGCGAGGACTGAAGTTTTGAGAGGGCCGGAAGACAAGAGGTCCGGAATGTCATGAGATACAACGGAAAAGAGCGCTTTGGTGTCTAGATAGGCTATTGTAGATTGAAAGTATTAGAATCTTTGTACTAATATGGTGATAAGATGACTTCGCTCCGGCGTACCGAGATAGGTCTCTGCGAGTCGGATGGCTGGAGGCTGAAGGAGCTGCACAATTTGATCGGCCATATTCACAGTCTGAGATAAGAGCTCCCATAGTTTCTTGTTATTAGCTGGGAGCGATTCGGTCGTCTGGAGAGTCTTGACACGCTCATCATTGAGTGGCCCTTGGAGATTTGTAGTAGCATCTTCGAGGACGCGGTTGAACTGTGCTAAGAAATCTTCAAGAGTAGTCATTGTATTCTCTTTTCTTTTCAAAACGTATACAATTTCGTATAATGAATATAATTGATAATGTTTGTGGTTTTACGTTGGGATAGCTAGTACATTAGGCGATCGTGTAAGGCATGTATGTGTATTTATTTATATCCGGGCTTTGATCTCATTACCGGCTTCCGACCAGTGGCTGGATACATGTATTTCCATAGATCCATAGACTGGGCATCTATACATACATGTGGTAATAGAACCCGAAGGCTGAAAAAAAGAAAGAGAGCCCCCTTGCAGCGTCGCATCGCTCTCATTGGATCCGCGTTTTCAGCTTCTCACAGGGATATGCGCATCAGACCAATCGCCCAGCAACACGCACACGCCTTTGCTTTTTTGTGCCAGCCAGACAATTCATTGCTTTTGCGCCTCTGACCAGGTCTGCTTAATGATGGCTGCGTGCTTCTCGCTTCTCGCCTCGAATCTGGCGGGGAACTTGACCGGTGTTAGCAAAAATCCCGGCTGCGCTGCAGTGGAGGGCTCAATAGGATCGCCGTTCTCGTCGGTAGATTTGCGGATGTTAAAGGCCCAGAATAGACGGGCAACGTTGATGAAGAGGGAGTTGTGGGCGATGTGGACGCCGGGACAATTGCGGCGGCCGGCACCAAATGTGAAGTGGTCTCGCAGGTTTGCATCGGCCTGGGACATGGATTCTGCTTCTGTTAAAGAGTCATCGAGGTAGCGTGTTGGGTCGAAGCGCTGGGGATCTTTCCATCGAGTTTCATCCATGTGGATGGCCCTGTAAATATCGTAGTGTCAATCGACGGACATGAGATATCATACGTACTCTCGGATTCAGATACTCACCACCAATTAAGAACGATTACGGCTCCCTTGGGGATAAAATGGCCCTTGTACCAGTCATCCTGAGTAGTCGAATGGCATGTCCCGATTTTGGTAGAGGCGCGCCATCTGAGCGTTTCCTTTGCAATGCCGCGAATGTACGGTAAATTCGGCTCATCGTTAAAATCAGGCATGCGATCGCTTCCCACTACTCGATCAAGCTCCTCATGGGCACCCGCAACAATTTCAGGATATAGAAGACAAGCCAAAATGACATTGTTGAGAGCTGTTGTCGTTGCATCGCTTCCGGCCTCGATCAACGCTCCCGCAGCAAACGCCGCGGTGACGTCGGAGATGAGGCTCTTTTCCAACTTCTCGCGCGCAAAGTCTTTCAAGAAACAATCCGGAGCTGTGCCGCTTTTGACCTTGTCCATGAGTGTGTGATACATACGGAGGTAGATTTGCGAATCTTCCTTGTACCATTGTCTGGCCACCGTCTTCCAGTTTTGCAAGAGAAACTCTGGGACGATGTCTGCAAGCATGGGCAGCGTGTCAATCATCCAGCCGCCAGGCGCTGTGGCGAGTGAGAAGTGACGGACGATTTTGAGAATATCCTGGTATAGAGGGTCGCTGAGACTAGGCACGGGCTGCCCATAGGTGATGGTCATGATGGTGCTGGTCGAGTATCTGCGGTTAATGTCGCTGAACTCTGTGTCATCTTTTGCATGCAATATCTCCCAAACGGCCTGCTTTGACTCAAAGTCTTGTACGGGTTTGTATGTCGAAGTTGTCTCCAAGTTGAGCGCCGAGTGGAGGATGTTTCTGAGAGTGCGCCACTTTTCGCCATAGGGAAGAAAGTTGAGACGCTCCTCGTTAGAAACCAAGTTGATCATAGGGCTGGCCGCTCGGGAAGAGTATATAGCTCCCCGTTTATCCATGAGATCCTTGACAGCAGTGGGTGATGAAAGCCATATGAAGTGCTGCAAACCTACTTTGGTGTAAAACACATCGCCGTATTCATCGGCCCACTGCTTCGCCAAGGTCATCATCTTGTCGGTATCCGCCATATCAAGCATGTTGCCAATGATGGGGAGCCCTTTGGGGCCTGGCGGAAGGCTTTTCATACGCGTATCGCGCGTCCATAGTTTGTACGCAAACCATATCTACTTGTTAATCTACTTTAGCCATGCACACTGTTAGATATGTTAAAGAGTATGGTGTTTACCAACCAATGGAGATATAACTGCTATCTTTATCACCAAAGATGTTTCCATAGCGCCTTTTTATTCTTGTAATTTTGCTGTAATAAACTTCAAATTCTCTCTACTTCAACTTTGCGTTAAACGACGAAGTCCTGACTGGCTCTTCTTAATCTCGTTCATAAGCACATATTCCGCGGCTATAGCGAGACACGGTTACCGGTTTATTGAGACGGAAACCGAAGTGTTTACAATTGCATTAAATTTTACATATTAATATCAGTTCAAAGCATGGTGATATCTTGGATTGTTTCGATGTCTAGCCACCAATCGAAGACTTGAGATAGGAAAGACGTAACCTTGCCTTATTCACCCCATGTCTTTGCTATTCCCTCAAGACGCGAATCATTTATTTTAATCTCTTGTATATCAATTCCCATATTCTCTACAGGTATCGCGCACTTGTGCGTTGTTCATACGCTAATAAATGAGTGAATCAAGCCTCCGACTCGCTGGTGCAGGCGCAGTGACTAGAGGATTCTGAGTGACACAAACACACGCACATTTTCACACGCACATTTTCACACGCGTTTGGAGGCGATTGGCTGCACAATCACTGTATACATTAGCCTCGTACAGCTACCTAATACTTGAGTTTATTAATGAATACATGTAAGTTATTAGTATCCCTCTTGCCAATTGGCAGAATCGTTTGAATCCGCCAAGTTTCCGGAGACTTTTGTCTTTCCACCCCACATCACTTTTAATCTATCAAGGTCGGCAGCCGACATGGACTCTCTTTCTTATTGTTTCACCAGCTGATCACAATTCGCTCATCGTGCCGTCGTTTGAACTTTGTATTACTTCACTTCACTACTTCCTTCAATTTGACTGCAGGTGCTGCTCTGCCTGCTCATCTCTCTTATCCAGGTCATGATCTGGAAGCTCTCCCTCGTTCTGATTCTCAGCTTTGGTCATCTCAGTCATAGCCAGCAATACCCATTATCTTACAATTTTCAACCCGATAATATGATGTTTCGCACACCTCCAATCATCTACGATGCTCTCATCGTCGGCGGTGGCCCGGCCGGCCTGTCGACGGCGCTGACTCTGGCTCGAGTTTGTCGAACTTCGATCGTCTTCGACTCTCGCGAGTATCGCAATGAGGGTGCCAAGGAGATGCACACATTTATTTCTCGTGACGGAATACCTCCACAGTCATTCCGGAATATCTCACGAGGACAGATCAAAGATAAATACTCGAACCAAGTGTCGTTCGTGGAGGGTACCAAGATTGTGTCGGTCTCGAACGACGAGATTCTCCCTGGCTACAAAGGTTTTCGGGCCGTCGATAGCGCAAATAATACCTATTTTGGCCGCAAATTAGTTCTAGCCACAGGTATCGAGGATATTCTACCCACGGATATTGAGGGATACAAAGAGAACTGGCCTCAGCATATGCAAGTCGTCAACCTTTACCCCAAAAGCCAGCTTGTTCACGTCATGCTAACTTCGGCTGCAGTTACCAGTGTCCTTTCTGTGACGGGTACGAGCAAAAAGATTTTCCCATCGGCTTGCTCACGTTCCCAGATCCGTCCTATGCCCACTTCGCCTTGATGGTCCGGCCATTCAACAAAGACTTTACAATCTACAGCAATGGGCCAGTGCCAACAGATGAGCCCACTCAAATGGCGCTGAAGAAGGTTTTGGCCACCGGTATCAAACTCGACCAGCGCAAGGTTCGTCGTCTCATCAACAACGGCTGGGGTCCCGAAAACGGGATCTCAATTGAATTTGAGACTGGTCCTCGCGTGAAGCTGGGAATGTTGCTGCATCGACCTCCAATGCAACCTCGTGGCCGGGACTTGATTGAGCAGTTGGGACTGGAAACTAATCCTAAGGGCGACATAGTGGCTGATTCAATGATGCTGCGTACCAGTGTGCCTGGATGCTTTGCTGCCGGCGATACACAGGAATCAATTAAGCAGGCACTCATGGCAGGGAGCAATGGTGAGTCAAGTAGGACAATCCTATCTACTGGGTCCGTTATGCTAACAACGTTGTAGGACTTCGTGTTGGAGCTTCAATTGCATTTCAACTTGCTAGCGAAGAGGGAGATCGAGCACTGGCGATGCTTGAGGGAAACGATATCAACATGAGCCTATAGCTGATAGGTAGCTGTTGATGAGTAGAGAACATTGAAAACATTGCGACTGGTTGATGGAAGGGGATTGCAATGCTCCAGGTATTATTCAGCCTTATAGCGTCAGAAGAGCTGCCCCAAAATGTGTTTTGCGCCCTCAAAGTATAAAATACAGCACACAAAATCTTTACACGTGCAGTTCAAAAGCAATCAGGCTACTGGGACCTGTAGTGACGATTGTACTTTTACATGACGACTAATTGACTGTAACCGAAGTCGTCCAAGAATAGCGCCCTGGTGACCAATTGTTCGTCGGATTCTCAGTGCCTGGTGTCGCTGTGTCAGCCCGGGCCGTCATATTCAGTGGGTAGACAAGCCCTAGTCGATTTGACGGGAGCCTGAGCTGGGGGTTGAGGCTAATCCAGGGATGCTATGGAGCATGGATCTAACTGAGATAGCGTCAGGTACCCGGCATAAGAAAAACTGAGGCTAGGGCGGGCTCGTCTTGTCTTGTCTTGCTTCCACTTGTCGATGATGCTCCAGGTCCAGGGTGCGAAGATAGCAGAACAAGATATCTTCTCGGCGTGTTCATTTATTCCTATGACCAGGACACTGTTTGGAGTGTTTCGTGTTATCAGCTTTTACCCCAGCAAATGGGCAAATGGTAGGACTTTGTGTCCAGGATCCCAGGGCTGAGTTCAGCTGAGATGCCCAAGTCACAGCGCTAACACCAAACAAGATGAGTAGCTGAGGCTAACAGGCAGCTATTCACTGCGCCTCATCTCTCTTGACTCTCAACTTATTCTCCTGTTGCCAATGCCAAAAGTTGAGCTCTTGGAGTTCTCCGTTGATTGAGGTGCGAGGCTTTAAATCACAATGGCCGACAATGGGAAGTCAGCGACAGACATCATCACCTATATCGGTGTGCCATTGGCGGTGCTGGGAGGTAACGCGACAAAGCAATCATAATCATCGTTCTTGGTGAAAGCCGCTGACAATGTGAATAGTTCTCCCTATTCTCTACAACACTTTTGCAACCCTCGCATCTCTCTCGCGTATAAAGCGCATGCTCCGGCGAAGTCGCCTGACTGCGCTGACACGTAGTGATGTTGTGAATCGCGTCATCGAAATCGAGTTGCCGCGGTATGCCGTCATGCCCTTGGACAGGTTTCAGAACAGATCAGAGTACTGGACCTTGTCGCGCCACCCCAGCTCGATTCCTGGCGGAAGCTGGACAACGTTCAACTGGAAGACGAATGCTATCGGGATGAAGACTCAGCGCGTTGAGTATGCTGATCAGGTGCGCCAGCCCCAGGTCGAGGTCGCGTTTGGCGAGCTGGTTTCCTATCTACTGGACCTTGGAGCTGTTCCAGATCCCCATGGCTGGAAATTGTTGAGATCCACGGGACTGTGGGCACCCGTGGGCTGTTCCTTGATGATGTCGCCTGATGGGAGAGAAAAGGCTCTTTATCTTGCTCCGCTGGACGACTCAGACGGGCACCTATCACTTGCTGTGGCATGGTCCAGCTCCTGGATTACTCGCGATCACGCCCATCTCCCGCCATATTGGGTTCGCTTACCAGCATTGGCTGGCAAATCAAGCGAACTGACGCCCTCTGACGAAAAGAAGGACGAGAAGAAGGACGAGAAGAAGGCACCGGATACCGATGAGGACCAGATACAGAGCGGCAGCGCTAGCGTAGCAGCAAGCCACGACGATGCCAACTCCATCGAGCATCAAGTTCATACAAACATGAAGAATGACATCACTTGCGAAATATCCTTGTCTGGGCTTGTCACAGCTCTGGTGGAAGGGGGTGTTAATAACAACAGTACACCTGACAGCCTCTACATCGAACATCTCCGCATACAGTCGCGAAAGTCCAACGGGGTCTGGTTTGCGAGCGCTGTCACAGCTTATGGCACCTCTAGTCAGACAATCCTGTGGAACTATAAGATCCCGGATGACATCCTGTCGTTTTCTAGAAAAGAAACGGTGCCGTGTGGCGTCTTGGTGTTGCTCGGCATGGTGGATGAGTCGGAGACACCCGAGTGGGCTACCAAGCACCATGACTACGGCGCTTCTCTTGATCTATTCACACAGAGAACCAGAGAATCCCGCCAAGCCATGGAGGCGGAGGCCAGAATGGCCCCAGCTCAGCGTGAACAGGCCGTCAGAGACAGGATGCGTAGAGAATCAGAGCAGCGGATGCAGGACAGTGAGTTGCCTTCAAATGCTTGGATGAATTATCCGTAAAATGTTACTAATCGATTTTCGCAATGCAGTGCGAGATAAAATGAGAACCCAGCAGCAGCAGCGTGACCAGCGAGCTATGGAAGCTCTGCAAAGTCCAAAATGGGACACAAAACTCGTCGCCGATTATTGTTTAACATGGTTGAAAGCTCGAAAAATCTGGGACGAATCCTTGTCTGTGAAAGAAGTTGTTGGCTTCATGCTGCATCGCATGGTTCGCGACGGAGAATTTACGTCGACTATCTGCAAGATGTTGGACACTTGGAAGGCGTGGGCGGACATGGGAGGCATGAGAAAGTCCGACTACCAGGCCATTCAAGAGAACCAATCGACATTTGCTGAGGCGACGTTGTTGATTGCCTTGATCAAAGACACATCTGATGCCTTGGAGGGGACGCTGGCCATGGATTTGCAGGAATGTTTACGGATGTGGCACAAAGTGCGGCTTGGGTAGCTTTTTAGAATGGAATGTGTTAAGCGGGCATTAATTCTCATATTCTGTAGTTTTATACTCGACGATTTTTTTACCAATGATGCTTTGCCCGATCAGCATCTCGATATGCGGCTCAGATAAAAAAAAAAAACCACTATTAATAGTTGCAGGTCAATGATCCTGGCAACTCTTCACCCACATACGTAGCAAAACCAAGTCCGCCAAGTCCGCGTTTCAGAACCTTTATGACATCCTCAGCTCGTTGACTGCTGTTATACTCAAATCAAGATTTTGTTGTTGTAAAAAGAGAGTTGTGCCATCCTCCAAATTATATAAAATGCTCGTGGTCCCCGCAAATAGGTTAAACAGTCATAGCATTCGTAGGGCACCAATAGAAGCAAGTAGGCTGCATCACCAGTAGAATTACTATAGCATGTGTCATCTTGTGGAGGCGAGACTTAAGCCTCGCGATTGGTACCGAATCTCATATCTTGGCGCTTTTTAGTGCTTACCGTACGATATTTCATTTTGCTTCTACCTCATCATTGTCCGCAAACCAGCAGAGTTCAGTAACGTCCGCCACCAAGCTAGATCCCGTTGATAGCTTGACACAGTCTCACATCTAGGAACAGCGCTGAGTGAGACGTCAGACAAAATAACCAGATACCGAGATACCGGGAAAATACCGCCCTAAGTTCATTAAATCGCACTCACGTATGAATAAATACTGGTGTCTATTCAGCAACAGCCTCAAGACTTAGTTCATATATCCACAAAACGCACACAGCTCTGTACAGTATGGCGGGCTTGTTTACTTTTTTCCGCAGAAATTACACAGCGTCCAACCCGCCAAGTGTCCCCAAATCCTCCGATCCCATACGTTTTGGGATACTGGGCGCTGCCAATATTGGGTGAGCATTTCATCATGCGTTGTTCAAATGTGCACCGAGGCTCATCTTTAATCTTTTAGGCCAGATGCTCTTTTTATTCCGGCCCGCACCCACCCCGAAGTTGTGATTCAAGCTGTAGCCGCACGAGATGAAGCAAAAGCAAAAGTATATGCCGACAAACACGGTATCCCAGTGATACTAGACTCTTATGAAGGTCAGCTGTTTCTTTTCGCTTTTTGGACTCGTTGATGCGCCATGATCGCTGCCTACGAGCCACGTGGAAACAGGCATATGTGCTAATCCTTGAGATCTAGCCTTGATTGCTGATCCATCCATTGACGTTGTTTATATTGCTCTGCCAAACGGTCTTCATTTTAAATGGGCACTGGCAGCACTAGAAAATGGCAAACATGTTTTGTTGGAAAAGCCATCTGTGTCCAATGCAGAGGAAGCAGAGTTGCTCTTTCACTCACCCCTGTTGAATAAGCCTGGAGCGCCTCTTTTGCTCGAAGCAGTACATTATAATTTCCACCCGACATGGCAATACTTTATGTCTCAAATCAGCCAGGCCGATATGGTTTATGCTAGTCATACGGTATTAGTCCCTACAGGCATCATCAAACCAACTGACATACGCTATAACTATGCCTTGGCTGGCGGGGCAATCATGGACATCGGATCTTATGGAATATCGGCACTGCGAGCCATCTTCGGAGCAGAGCCAGAATCTTGCATTGAGTGCAATATGAAACCAACGGTGCCACCAGCAAGCGAACTTTGTGACGCAGAGTATACAGCCAAACTTCAATTTCCCAACGGCGCTATCGGAGAGATACAAGGAACATACAATACATCATGGCCAAAGTTCCGACTTCCCAACATTGAAGTTTTGCACCGAGGGGTTGAAGTTCACGACGATTCTCTCGGGCCCAACCAAGTGAAAATACGGACGCGAAAAGTCGTGTTTTACGGGCACATGTTTGCCACTATATACAATCGTATCGATACAGAAGATACCTATGAAGTGCGCAACAAAGACGATCAGCGGCCCATCAAGAAGTGGACAGAAAAGAATTACAAGTCGGTTCATTCCTTCCGGGATATTGACGTGGAACAACCTGGCGAATTTTACTGGAAGTCTTACCGATATCAGCTGGAAGAATTTGTCAATCGAATCAGAGGTCGCAGTGGAAACGGCATTTGGGTTTCAGGCGATCAAAGTATAGCACAGATGAAGGCCATAGATATGGTTTATGAGAAGTCGGGCTTTGGGGTGCGGCCGTCTCATGAGCGGCCAGTTTCATAAGAGGCCTCACTGTTAACCTAAAGCAACTCATATTAATCAAGATATATGTTGACTTACTGGGGTTTAAAATACACATAAAACTGTCTATTATTCATTCCATTTCGGTCGTATCCGTATCAGATGAGGAACATATTCACCTACACCAAAGCTCAAACTGAATCAGTTTGACCAAGAACATATGAACCCATGAGGAGCCTAAGTCTATTGCTCAAATTGTCCTAGGTTATCAGGACGGTGTCCAAACTGTTTTCTGTTTCTTGATTTATGATAAAGTTTTACCAATCGATAATCAAAAACTTCTTCTATTTTCAATATGAATCTCTTTTCTACCTTGTAGGCAAGATATACCTGATTCTTGATTGAAAGATTGGATTGTTGGAAAGGGTCATTCATGAAGAAGTTCGAAGGCACAATCTGTATATCAACCCCAGGCGATCCGATCCTTGGGATCTCCTCCATGGAGTACTCAGTAATTCGCTGCCGCCATGGCTTATAATATGCACGAGAGTAGCTATTCTAATTATGAAGAAGTTCTGCTAAGGGATGTAGGAATTCTTGAGAATGAGCAGCAATTAATTCGATGCATCAACTTATCTTTGACTCGGGAGAATATGTTGCTCGATGGGAGGATATGGTAACGCATATTATTACCAGATTTTCCAGTTCTTTATAACTATTGAACTATTCCTTCACTCAGCTCTTCTTCATATTACAACATAGTATACTTAATTCTGATACAGGCAACTATATGAACAAGAGAGGCGATGTCTTGCATGCCAATCTGTTATTTACCAGCAGGAGTGCTAGAACTCAAAGAAATGGATCTTCTATTCCTGCGTTAGAACGTTGCAAACGGGTTTGTAACACGTCCTCTGGCTATCTCACGTCGATATTACTAAGTGTTGTTGCCGAACTGCCGAAATGTACCGGATTACCGATCTATAATTTGGCATCTCCGTATTGGCGTAAATTATGAAGTGGAAATCCGTTGGCGATTAAAGCCTTTCGCCATGTCCAAAAATTAGACGTAGTTGACCTTCTAATTATCTCTGAGCTTTGCCAATCATCAATTGATATAGGGGAATCAGTAGGCTTTGCTCAATTTCTTATAAAAAAAATCTCCCCTTGGTCTTGTTACAATACATGCATACTGTAGTCCCTACAGGTTCAGAATCGCACCATCATAGGGCGTTTCGGCACGAGAAGATCTATCCAAAACTGGTAATCCGTTCGTATAGAAAACTTGTATACCAGTAAGCCCTTATTTTGAGACTAGCACTACCCCTTTCCTTTGGACTAAGATGCTAAACAGTAAAGTGCACTCCGCACTTTATATGAGATTGAATGGAATCTTTCTCAGCAATGGGGTTGTCTGCCACTGCGTAGATGCTGGGCGTTCAGCGACGGATTGTAGCCGCAAAACAAATGACATCGGGGGGTTATCGCAATATAACTGTTTAATGTGCCCTCCCGATCGCAGATGGAGTTGAATCCTGTATTGTGAGCGGCTTTGCGCAATTAAGTATCGATACTAATTCCGATACCGGTGTTAACTCCAGATACCTGGTCGATAATTATTTTGTCTTCTGCAGGGAAAATCCCCCACAACCCTAAGCTGGTTCTCTAAAGCCAATCAATGACCCTGTCATCCAGTGCCTTGCGAGAACGAGATTCAAATTTTCTGCAGCTGCTCAATTATTGATACCCGCTCTAGGCATCCCAGCTCAGTTCGGTCAAGTTTCTCGAGTAGGACGTCGGCAATGCAGGCTACAAAAAACACCGCCATTTTGAGAGATAGGCGGCGGTGTATTTGTATGCCCCTTGAAAGGATTCAATCCCACGCTCTTCGTAAAGTGGAGCTGTTAACTGCTGAAATCCCACCCAACTGTTTGCATGAATGAGAGTCTACTTGACTCACCATGACGGGGGTCAAAATATGCTTATTCATTTACGATACAGCTGGGTAAGTAAATACCCGCAACGACAGCATCCAACGGATACGGAGAATTAATCGCCACGATCCGCAAGTCAAACGATGGATACGGTTGCAAATCCGCCGGAAAATAAATAGATTTACCACTAGTTTCTTTGTTTATTGGTCTCAATATGCCGTCCGTTTCCCATACTTTGGTCTTGGGAGCTTGGTGCTGTAGTAACGTGTGTGTTAAATCCGAGTATTCTGAAACGAAAAGGGGCTTCGTTGACTCTTCGTCTGTCGCATATGCTTACTTACCACGTACATGAACGTAGGGGGTAGGCCTATTACGGGGTGAAAACTGGTGGCCAATGCATCCGCAATTCGGCTTTATGACCTCTGTGCAAGACCTTCCCATGTCAGATATCGGCCATCATATTGTTCGAAAGGGAGCAACTCTTCAATCACAGTGCAGTTCAGATGTCAAGGACATTGTTAATAGCACTGGCTAAAAGCCAGCAAAATGAATATTTATAAGTAGGCTACTGTGTAGCAGAAAGAAAAATAAATATTACTACTAGTGAGGAACAATCCTCGCTACACCAGGTAGCTATAAGTCTATAATGGGTAACAAAAAAAAATGCAAAATGCTTTTGAGTTCCAAGGGTAGACAATGCCCCGAGGATTGCAAAAAATTCGTAGAAGCCTCTAGTGCGACTCGTAGCTGACTTCATAATGTGTCGTTTTCTGGATGTGATGCTGCTGGTTACTTGGGAGAATGCTCTCCTCGCTCCCTGTATCCACATGTCGATCTTGAAGGCGAATGCTTGGGCCTCGTGGCTCGAGATTATTACTTTCGAATTTGGAAGTGCCTTTGGAAGACCCAGGGATCCAAGGGATGAATCTCAAT